ATGCAATATTAAAATTATATTATGACTGGACTGCAATATATGTATTAAGACTGGAAAAAATTTACTTTCTAGAGATTTATAAAAACTCCTCGTAGTTATTATTTTTATTCAAAATATATTTATTATGAGATTGTATTATAATTAAAAAAAATGTATATCAAGAAATAATAGATATGTGTGTAATTATAACCCTGACAGAAAACACAGAATATCTATACAATCCAATAAAATTGATGTGTTTGTTTGTAATTTCAAATTAACAGCTTTTTAATAAATGAATATGTAAGTACTGACATAAAAAAACAAAAAAATTTAAATATTGTCTATCTCTCTGTCTGCTTGTTCTTGCTAATCTCTAAAAAAGGTGAACCGATTTTGACGGAACTTTCACTCGCAAATGGCTAACGTTACGCAGTAATTTACGCTACTAAACTAAATGATACTTTATTTGTTATAATTAAACAAAAGTTAAATTCCACGCGGACGAAGTTGTGAGTAACAGCTAGTTTAAATATATAATACAAAGTACTTACAAATGTAATATATTTCACGCTATTTATCAAATGTTGTCATGTAGCGTCGTTGTTGGCAGATTCAATTTCTGAACGTTTGCAGTCACCATAAATTAACCCTTTGAAATTCGTCTCTCACCTTGTAAAATTAAATTCGGTCGTCGACGAAAACCACTCGTTGATATTGTAGTATGTTTCAAATTAGATATAAATTAACATGATGGCACAGTATGAGAAAGCTTTTAGCTACAGTCGATAATTAAGTTTATATAATTAATATGTGAGTTTAGATTTTGCCAATTTATTTGAAATGTATTTACAGAGTAACTATGCGTGAATAGATTAAATGGGTATTAACAAAACCGAGGGAGACTGTGCGAGATGTGCAAAGTAAAAATCAAAACTATTATGTCACTAGACATTTTTTTAAACTCATGCATGTGAGAATATTTTTGTCACTACTACCAAAAATGTCCTAATGTTTAAGTATTTAATGAACCTTCAAAAATTTAAAAATTTAATAAGCTATCAAAGTGATGGCTTGGGTCGTCTAGCGGTTTAGCATACCGTCTTACTTCCGATGGTCGCGTATTCGATTCCTCGCACGGCACAAACATTTGTATTCATGACTATTGTTGTCTTGGTGTTTTCTACATCATCATCATCTATGTATTTACAACAATATATATATTTGCGCCTATATGCGGACTAGATGACCTGTGTGAATTGTCCCGAGTTTATTATTATTATTATTTATACTATGTATTCGTTTTATTGGTTCGAATAATTTTCCAAGCACGTATTTTCTTCTTTTACAAAAACTGTATTCTATCAGTCAAGTACCCTTAGCATAAGCTTTATTAAAATTATAAGGGTGACAGCTAATTTGTATAAATTTTCGCATAACACCGATAAATTGTTCGTATTATCAAAATGTCATTAAGTTCAGTAAACATGTATGGAAAATATAAGCTGTAAACTAATATGTAAAATCAATAGCGAGATTATCTATCAATTTCGCGCCTCGCCGATCAAAGGCACATTGTGAACTACTCATTTCACATTATAAACCTAATCGATTCGTGTGCATGGCCCCTACAATGAAAAACAGTATAACTATTATACTATTTATAGGATTTTTAGATTCGATTGGTTTAGTTCTAATCGAGATACTTGTAATTACTTGTAAAAGAGTCATGAGAAGACAAATTCAAAAATCATTTATTTATGTAGGACATTTTAGCCACTTATGAACGTCAAATTTTTACATTCTAATTAAATTTTTTCCCTACCGTCTAGTTCGGTATATAGATCCAATTGAGAAGAACTGGCAAGAAACTCAATTGAATTATTTTTTTAACAATTCAATCAAGTTTCTTGCCAGTAGACATATAATGGAAATAATCACTGCCTGTATACATGTTAAAACTTATATTTATATTTACAGTAAGTAATATACATCTGTTAATGAGTATCCTTAAGAACATCGCCGGATGAAATGGAGACAACTGTCGCGAAAGACAGTTGATGCTTGTGGGGATCCACAGTGGTCGAGACCCGAACAGTGGTGTGTTTGGGTTACTACTTACTACTACTGATTATATTATTTCCTTTGGACAAAATGCAATAGCATAGGCTTTTGGTCACGATATTCTCCCTAATTGAATTTTGAAATGAATATGTATGTCTGTAATGATGTACATACAAGCTTATTTAAAAAAATAAGAGCTGATTTCCTTGTCACTTCTTCTTACATAGCTCGTAAGCAATCCGTACTGACGGTAGATTTCACATAAGTGTCTTTAATAGACCTACGTAAATAAATATATTTTTATTTGATTTGTTTAAAAAAAGGAACCCATAATAACTTCAATTAAATTCCTGTACATAGTTCTAAAAATATTCGTGCAAAAATAAACGTATGTTTTAAATATATTTAATATAAAAATTGTGTTGGAAGTATCGCAACAGTTAGAACTCAACTGTCGAGACACCATTAATCGTACCCTGAGCTCACATTCCGAATGAGTTTATTTGAATATACATTATTTCTATTTCCTCTCACCTGACACCTGTGCATTTTAGCCGTAGACCATAGAATGTAATAATAAAAATTCTTGTGCTTCGCTATACGGAGCAAGCCATCCAAATGCATACATATAGGTGGGATTTATCTAAAACTTTGATAATTACATTTCTATTGTAAAGTAAAATATGTTTTATATTTTATTTTATGTCATTAAGTAATGAAATATTTATTTTTATATCATAACCTTACAGGTTATAAATTTAAAAAATTCTTCAATAATATATTATTTTTTCTTCAATCTTACTCTATGCGTAATTGTAAAAGACAGCTTCGCGAAGGGTCTACATGTATTATTATACATATTAACCTTCCTCTTGAATCACTCTATCTATTGCTAAATTCTGAATTAAAATCCTTTGCGTACTTTATAAGATCTAACTGAATAGAAACCGTAAGCGACTTCATTTTATACTATGTATATATTCTGAGACATTTGTTACCTGTTTAAATTTGCATATTAGCGAAGAAATCAGCAAAATTACAATTTAGATCAATCGGAATCGAACTTATTATATCTTTATTACATTATCACTTTAGCGACAAATGGTCAAATGAAAAAATTCTGTAGAATTTTTATTAAAAAATTCTGTAAAATTTTATTCTACAAAAATTGCACTGAAGTCGCAGAGAAGAGTTGTAACAACTCCCATATTGGTGGTAAGGGAATTATTGTGAATATATGGTGTCAGTAGAGATTCTAATCACGGCCGTAGCCGCTTCGACACGACGCGGAATTTGCAATTTGGCCGCATGAGGATTGTCACCAAGCCTGTCACCAACAATGTTGATTTATTGCTTAACTACATTTCACCCGCGACTTCATCTACACCAGGTTAGACATACATGTTTAATTAAACTTAATTCTGTATTATCTACATATAGAATTAAGTTTAAATAAAAATATTTGACATGTCACTTGGGCGCCACGAGGTATAGTGTGGTACAAGCTATGATTTCTTATTTAGGTATAAATACTGTTCTTAGTATAAATTAATCTCCTATATCATTATACAGTATAAAATAAAGTCGCTGTCGCTGTCTGTCCGTCCCTATGTATGCTTAAATCTTTAAAACTAGGCAACGGATTATGAAGCGGTTTGTTTTAATAGGTAGAGTGATTCAAGAGGAAGGTTTATATTTAAATGTAATACAGTTACAATCGGGCGAAGCCGGGGCAAGTAGTCTAATATATAAAAATTTCGTCTGTAAGTGTTTGTTATCGAACTTCTACGAAGGGCCTTAACTCGTTTAAGGTCGTTTTTCGAAGAAAAATTATCAAATTTTTAGTGTATATTTGGTAGGAGTGAGAATAGGTATACTAGGACTATGTTTTATATTTCCTCGGTATTATCACCGAATCAAACCACAAAAATCCAAACGGGGGTGAGTTTAGGTGGCCGTAAAATAATTTTTGCCGGGCGAGTTATATATATATATATATATATATATATATATATATATATATATATATATTATAATATTATGTACACAAAGACACTACATAGATAAATAGAGGCTATCCCTCTGTACATTAAATAACTGTGAAGTATCTTTAAAATTCTCTTTAAATATTTAAGCTACTTTACCTCCAGAGGCATTAGTTTTATCCGACATGTATAACTAGATCAAGATCTGGCGACTGCGCCCGCACGGAACCCGTTTACTCTCGTTCCCGTGGGAATTTGTAAAAACCTCTTAATGGAAGCTTACATTAAATTGGTAACCTCTGTAATATCCAAGTTAGATACGGAGTTATCCATGTCTACTCGCAATAGTGTATATACAGATTGTGATCAAAGAAATAGTATTATTTTCTAAACTCGCTTAATTTGCATATATATATATATATATGAACCTACAGAGTACCTACTGTATTTATTACTCTACAATATCGAGAAGTACTATAAATTCCTAACAATAAAATAACTACTTGTTAGGTTTTAACTCTGTACCAAGATTAATATATAAGACCTATTTAAAGGGAAACCACATTGCTTTGTTAAATCTTATGTAACATTGTTCTTGACTTGATTGTTTATATTTGTACAGATTATATAAACATATTAATATGTACCATGTTTACTAAATATAATTATGTAAACAATAGATGTGTTTGACTAATTGCATACGTATAATTTTATTTAAATTTTCGACATTAAATTCGCGGAAATGAAATGTGTTATGTATAAATAAACAGTTGCAAATATATGTATAAATAATTATTTTGTATTATTAATATAATAAGCGTATTTATTATTTTGCTTAATTATGGTAAAAGGACAGAAATCAATATATTTGCATCAAGATGAACTACATAATATTTATGTGTATATAATTTACACAAACCACGCTGAAAGATATAATGAAGTAGAAAATACTATTGAAAAAACTGTACTCACCCCAACATCACCAATCTGAAGCAATTCTTAGGGGGTGGTGCTGATTCCTCGCAGCCCTGCGGCAGCGCCGCGCTGGGGCCCGGCGACCGCTCGGGTTCCGACTCGTCCCCGACGCCCGCACCACGCCGGCACAGCCACGAAGTGCCACATTTATCCCTTGCATCTTCCACAGGTGCTGCAAACTGACACCGACGAGGTGACCGCGTTCTACCGCTTGACAATGATGACTTCAAAGGTGACGATGGCACCCTCACAGGACTCGGTGACGCTCTAACAGGAGACGTGGACACTTTCACTGGGGAGGACTGTAGGGACAATCCTCCCCGTTCGGTTGTGCCGTTCAACATTGTCAGTCTATTTAGTTTTTGAATCGTTTCTATTCATTGCACACTATTTCAATATTGCTCATTCATTATGATGTAATTATTAACATTGAAGTTCTACAAATATTTAGGCTATTAATTTTAATTGACTTTGAAAACTAAACATACTTTGCTTTGGACATAAACAAAATACAAACATTTATTCGTGAAAGTTATAATGTTTTTAGTTATGTAAGTACGTATACGTTAGATTAGCCCACATTTACATAACAGCGATCTTTGTCCCCATTGTAACGAAAGAACTCCTGAACTCCTGCCCTTTCTATACTCATCTCTTATAGGAGAAAAGTCATGTTCACTATGTGGACAACGTAATAATTGCTTGTGTATCTACATTTCACAATGGTATAATAGGTAAACCTGCACGAAGCCGAAGTGGACAGCTTGTTAAATATAATGGTGAAACATTATAATTAACGGAACGATATGAACGGAAATTTTAATATGTCTATTTATTTGTGTCACGATCCACAAACTTTATTTATGTATTTTTTCTGAAACTAATTTCACTTCCAGTAAGTAGACGCTCGGATTAATTTTGTAATATACACTCTTTGATGTTGACTTTTATTGCTAATACTTACTTACTTGTTCTGTATTAGAGATCGTCCATAAATTACCTTATACGTCGACGTAGGGGAAGTGGGGGGTCGATAAAGTGTGACATTATGTCACAACGAGTGGAAAGTGTCCTAAATTTTGTGATATCTCATTTCAAAATCTAATGGATCTAAGTATTAGAAAACTAAATTTCTATAATAAAGAATCGCATTAATATTTCCAACTTCATTAATATAAATAATAAGTAAGTTTTAATCGTGTTGTTGACGAACTTATAGTAGGTTCGCTAGTGTAAAATTCCAAAATATTACCTTACGTCACATTAGAGGTGTTCTCATAAATGTTACCAGATTAAGGGAGGTGTCAAAAAATATTAAACTAGTGCGATATAATTTATGGATGGCCCCTAACACTGTATTTGAAGTGTTGTAAGATGACAATATCCAGGGCGTAATTATGTTATAAACCGTGCTCAAAAAGAACTCTTAATAGTTTAAAAGCCAGTCTATTTTCTTCAAAGTCAAGCTTGTCATGTCGGTGAGAGGTGCATGTATTTTATTTTTATTTGATACCTAATTAAGCGTTATAGCAGTAGGTATACGAAAGGTACATTATTATAAACTTAATTTTATAACTTATATAGGTACTAAAATAAGAAGGGGTTCTAAACATTAATAATAATAAACTCGGACATATCACAAAGTGCCATTTAGTTTCACTACTAAATAGACCCTATACCATAAAATGGAGAAACAATTAGATATTTTTTAAAATGCGTACCATATGCTATGACGGTGTTCAAAATTCCCAGATAGTCATTCTTATGAATACAAATGTTTGTGTATATGTGTAGTATGTAAAACTACGATAAATTGTAAAAAAATATTAACAGTAGGTACCGGTAACATATGTACTAGTATAAACGAGAATCGTAAAACCCAGAAACTATAGCGCACGCTGCATGCAAAACGATGAAAACTTTTTTTTAACATCTCCAACGAGAGCTACAATTTGTAACAGCAACTTTAAAGTTCAATTTGTACAAGTTATTTTTCTATAATATGTACATGTATTGTTGAGTGGAATTGAAGGAAAAGGAGCAAGGTAAAAGGTTGTGTGAAGGAGCTCTGAGCATATAAACTCATAACTTTTGCACGCTACTTCGAATGAAGGGAATTCGCATTTAGTTGTCTTTTGGGAAACTTACTATTTCGCCCGAGACGAAAAGTTATAATTAAATATTTTATTAGTTAGTTTTTCGTTTCCGTAACCATCAAATGATTGTGTATTAATGAACGGAAACGAATTTGGCACTGTAAAAAAAACTTGATATATTCTTGAGTTATATGTACCTACTTATAATTAAACTTATTCATAAGTTCATGAATAATTATTGCAAAGCATAATAATCATGTTCGAAAAATTTGGGCAAAGCAATAATTGTAATAATATAAAATGTATCATCACAGATAATATAATATTACATACAGATACCCCATCCCATACAAGAAAATGGTTCCTTCCTAACTCGGGCTATTCTTCGGGAAAAGATATTAATCAAAAAAACTTTAGTCTATAAATTATAAAATTACTGTATTTTATACGTCTGATAGAGTTTAAACTTAGAAGCTACACGATATATTTATTACACGAGAAATGTATTCGACAGCCTCGGTGATCTAGCAGTTTAACATGCCGCCTTTCGATGGTCATGGGTTTGATTCCTGGCACGGCACAAACATTTGTATTCATGAGTATGATTGTTTGTATCGGTCTGCGTGTTTTTTATGTATAATATGGATATATTTACGAAAAAAAAATATATCTATGTATTTGTATCAGTTATCTAGTATCCATAACACAAGCTTTAACTATAAGCTAGTTAAAGCATGTGTTATAAGTACACAGATCTATATAGCGCTGTGTGAATTGTCCTGAGATTATTATTATTATCACATCTTAGTTTTCCGGTATGAGTGGTATCTCCGGCGATGTTAACGTGATGTCCGTAGTGCTTAGTCATATATATAAACGACGGTTAACACGCCATCAGGCCCGTCAGCTTGTTAGCCATTCCAAATACATAAATAATCGTTACTTCTTATGGCAAAAAATATATTGGAGTACGCTTGCTGCAGGCCTGTATAATCTATCTCGAGTCCACTCTTCCGCTGTCGCTCATTAAGGCGTAATAGGCATACGTCGGGCAAATGAAATGGAAGAAATAAGACTGATTATCTGCCGCTCTATTACCGGATGGTGATTTCAGGAACCTAAAATTCGAAAAAAACGAAATAAGATCGTACCAAGAACATATTAGATTCGTATTTGAGTTTAGATGTAACACGCTGTAATTTGTCGTATGAGTTATTAGAAAGTATCTTATTTATCATTTAGGTTATAGTTATACCAAACTTTCTTTCAATCAAAAAATTGATTATTACTGTTAAAAAAAGAACTACATCTTACCACGTTTTATTTATATTATTTACTTCCCGCTATTTTAACAGTGTACTCATGATCATGGGTAAACTAAAGAGCAGTGGGTAAATTATCAGCAGACATAGTCGTATACCTTCACACATCTTCATTTGTTGCTACTACCGAAACTCGCCCGACATCTACATATCTCGGCACATTAAGCTCATTAGGCTCATTATCTCATCACTGGCAAGTAAAGTAAGACACTATCACCATCGCACTTATTGTTTATTCGCCTACTCACATTTAAAGTCATAAGAATTGGTCCAACAGTAATTAAAATATTAAACTTATTCCAAAATAAAAATTATTTTACGTAAATAGTGTTTAAAAATTGAAATCTATTCCAAGATTAAAATAATTAGTATTAGTATTTCTGAATTACATAAATAGTATTTATAAAATTTAAAACTATCCCAAATTTAAAATTATATAAATATTAGTATTTTCTAAAATAAATATCTGTACTCGACTACTCTCACTACACTTTGGCTAACGGACGAACGAGTGTTCGTTTTACTTTTTAGTTCTGTACTACTTCTTTTATATTTCATTTCTTATTTTAAATTAGACAATTCCGGTTAATTCGTAAATTGAATTTCAAACAATAAGAATTAAAATACCCTTCGTTTTCCGAATTTGGTTATAAATAACAACATTACATTATACTGGGCCATTTCACTGATGAAATAAGTTTGAAATTCACAGCAAAATCTGACAATGTCTTTATTATCTGACAATTTCCAAATACAATTAACAATATTCGATAAATGATTATTTATGGAAAAGAGCTTTTAGGTAATTAAATTTTAATACTAGAATTAGACATACAGCAGTAAAAGTTTTACTATTATATAATATTTTGTATTTTTCAGAATATATTAATAATACGTAAAATGGATTTTCGTATTATTAGATGATTGTAAGTAACGCGACTTCCCGGTATTAATGTAAAGGGCGTGTGTATTCTCATCATCGCATCGTAACTAGCAAACTATTTATCCAAATTACTTAATGCAAAGGACAAAGTTTATCTACTACTAAACCTAGAGAGTTATTATTACGAACATCTAATGAATACTTTCTACGAATTCTTTCTCCAATAGTGTTACTTATACATTTGTTATTTCACATCAACTTATGACTGCTAGGCTATTAACCTATTGTGGTTATATAGGGTTACTAAATTGAATAACCTACAATTCCTCAAAGATTTAGAGTATTGTGTTGCCAGTAGGTAATAGTATCAGAAAAAATCAAATATTTGGATCTGATACTATACTTAGTAAAATACCTAAAAATGTTTCAACAAGTAAAAGAATAAATAGGCAGTTTATATTTTAGCATGTTGTCTCGGACTTTTTTTTAATAAAGATTTTGCAGGGCTGGTGGTAGTTTCCTAATAATACCCTATAGAGAATCATATCATAATATCTTTATACATTTAGGTCTATTACAAACTCTTAAATAATTTGTCAAATTGATCGTCAGTTCGAAGTGCTTTTGAGCTAAGAAGAGCTGACATAAAACTTTCATTTAAATGAGCTGCATGATTACAAAAATATAGACAAAATATACTGATAGACTTTATAAAATATGATAAACAAAAGTTAATAGTTGAGTTAAAAGTTAGTATAGCAAGCTCGTATAAGCTATGGCCTAAATGGTGGGGTAATGCCCTCCCTTGACTGCGAATTCCCGAAATGCTTTCGGTAAAAATGAAATAGGTACGAGTCGACCCGTCGACGCCTTACTGCCTCTTTTCCCCCGTTAGCGAGAAAAGAAGGACATATTTGCTCGTTTCTTTAAGTAAGTGTAGCAATTTCATTGTATGCCATTGAATTATAAAATAACAAGCTGATATCCGCGACTTCGTCTATTTCAACTACCGTCACCTATATACCATCTACATCCTGATTATTTTTACAGATAATATCTTTTATGT